TTCCCTAAGTGATGTCTTCCTCATCCTTTACCAGAAAACGAGTTAAGATCTGATCCTTTAAAGTCACCAACTTTAATCTTTAACCCACTTGGATAATCACCCACTTTTACGGATATCAGTGCTCTTTGATATTACAAATGAGTCCTTCGCTTTCCCTATGTAAGGTCTTAAATATCACTATTTCATCACCATCTAAGCAAAACCCTGACTGAAGTCTGGTAAAACTGGGTCATTCTGAAATTCTGGCCCCTTCTCTAAAGGACACCTAACCTACTTCTGTATCTCTGGCACTTATACCAGGCTTGTGGCACTAGGTCCCTCTTAGCTATCGCTAATTATAAAGACGTGATTGAGACCTGAGAGAACCATCGCATTTGTCCCTTTGGTACATGAGTGGTCCGAACTCCTTGGGTTCAAGTCTCTCTCTGGACTGGATGAGCAGTAGCTGCTTGTATCAGAAAATCAGACAATTAGGCTGCTTGCGTGAGGTTTTAAAGAAATCCAAATCCTAAAGTCAAAATGGATCTAGCCCCTTGCCATCCTGTGGTTTTAGTATCTGACACAGGAGACGCATTATGACGTTGGCATGTGGAGGCTGGATTTTCAGACAACAGACAGGTTCATTCACCTACTGGAAATTTCTTGTCAGCTTTAAATCTTTAAAAACAACAAACCTTAGGGGTCTCTCTCTCTCTCTCTCACACACACACACACATACACACACACACACACACACACACACACACACACACACGAGAGACAGAGAGACAGTGATGGGGGGGTCAATTGGACAAAGGCTGTTACCCATCATTAATTCCTTTTCCACATGGCTTTCAGTGAAATGAGTTTGCCTAGAAATAAGACCTCCAAGAATACCAGCTGCTAAGAGCTGTTTGTGGGGAGCTAGCAATCGCAAGCGGAGTTACCTCCCTCAATTTGCTGATCTGGCCCCACTGGCTTTGTCTTGTCAGGATTAAAAAGAAAACACTCTTGCACCTTCGGCTGCTGGCTCAGGCCGACTACAGGCTCAGCGACGTGATGCGGGAGTCACTGCTAGATGACCAGCTCGCCCCTGTCCTCACAGAACCCCACCTCCTGGCCCTGGACCGCAGACTCCAGATCATCCTTAAGACAGTGGAGGACTGCATAGAGGCCCACGGCGAGCCGAGTGTCATAGCTGATGGACCAACACAACATTCAGCTCCAGACTCTGGCCAGGCTAATCTGACAAGCTAATGGCAACAGCGCACGTAGGACTTCAGAACACACAACTGGAGCCGGCACTGCATGCTGGTTTGTAGGCTCCTGCTGCCCCATTCTAGCCTGGGGTGCTGGAGGCCGAGTTACAAGCTCAGGGAGGAGGCAGGAATGCTTTGTGAAAAGCAGTCGGGATCCACCAACCTCATCTTTACCCTGGGTGGAAGTCACTGCTTTTCCAGTGCACTGGCTGGAGCTCGCTCTTCCCAACGAGCTCCGGCTCCATCAAGACTGCAGACTATCTTCTGAGCACACTGTGAAACCTGGATCTGGGCCAGGCTTGGAAGGTTTGGAAGCTCTGTTCCCAGGAGCGGTTTTTACTCTACCATGTCAAATAAAGGGACATCAAGTGGATAACTGGCTTTCTCCAAGTCCTTACTGTATATGCTGGTACAGTAAACCACCTGGCCCATGTTAAAAAAAAAAATCTTGAGACATAAAATCTGTAAATCTCAGGTTGATGAAAAAGAAAAAAGGGTCACTTTTTTGACTGACATTCTATTCCTTCACACTATCTGAATACAAACAATCCTGACCAGGTCACCCCTCAAAAATCCTAACTAAAGGTGAATTTGCTCAGTAAGGGGACACTTCAATCTGAAGAGTATTATCAGCTTAGGAACTGGTTCACACAGTAGGTAGAGTATTTGCCTCTCAGGTTCAACCCTCAGCCAGGCATAGTGGCAATTCCTGGAATGCCAGCACTTAAAAGACATTCTTAGCTACACAGTGAATTCAAGGCTAGCCTGGGATGCATGAAGAGGAAACACCATGTATGTCAAACCTAAGAGCCAGACACAAGAAGGGGAAGCTGGCGGCAGGTTCGGGTTACATGGCTTCATCAGATCAGATCACTTTATCTTCTGATAAAAGTCAGAGGATCCAAAAGTATGGAGGGAAGAAAAAGCATCAGTCACTACAAGGGACAAATCAAGAACCAGAAATGTCACTCAGACTCCTGCATATGCCCAAGGACAGACAGGTGACCGACAATGGGTAGTATTGTTTCGGTCTTCTGAAATTGGTCATCATGTACATCCCAGGCTGGCCTTGAATTCTTGCTCCTCCCCCTCTACCTCCCAAGTGCCTGGATTAAGGCATTTGTCCATGCTGGTCTCACAATGGATGGCTCTGATTCATCCTAGCCACCCCACATTATGGGCACGTGATCCTTGAACCCAGTTTGCGCAGTAGCCTTGCTTCTATTCTATTCTAAAGCCTTGCCACATCCCAGACGGTTTACTAACCTGTAAGTCGGCACAGGTTTGCAACCCTCACGAACACATCCAAGCCTCTGCCGCCAATGTGTAAGAAAGAGAACTGTGGCTCGAGAGAGAGAAAAACACATCATCTTGTGGTTTAAACTTATTCCAAAATGTATAGTATCACGCCCATTTGTGAAGCTAAATTTGTTAGCTGGAAAAAAAATTAAGCTGGGTGCTGTGACTTATGCCAGCAAATCCCAGCCCTTGAGTGACTCAGTATAAAGTTGAAGGCTGGGCTGGGCTTTGGGAGGGAAAAAAAAAAAAAAAAACCAGCAAAATCAACTCTACCAGAGAAAATGAGTTCCAAAGACTTCCCTATCAGGGAGGCCCTTTGGTGAGGCACAGCTTCCTGCAACATCAACTGTTTCTCCTCTTCTCCCCTGTCAGGGAAACACTAGGAAGCCACACTGAAGAATTGGGGGGGGGGGGGGGGCCGGGGGGGGGAGGGGACATTCAGATGTTCAAAGAAAGCATGGTTTGAGGCTTTTAGCCAGTCTTGCTCAGGTGAGTTGCAGTCCATCTCCAAGGCGGCCTCCCTCGATCCAGACTAGTTTCTCAAGATTCTGGAATAACGTATCGGCTACACTTTTTAAGACTAAAGTAACTGAATTTGATCATAGTATGTTGGGTAACTATACAGACTACTTTTAACAATCAGGTTTTTTAATAACAACAACAAAAAGGCTGAGACTGGCATTTTTCAAAAATATCAGAAAACCAAACCATTCCATTCTCAGAGTGTGGCGTTCTCACATCTGACACACTCTGAACCACTGCTTAACTTCCCATGGGGGTAAAAAAAAATCAGTATTCTGAGTCTATGTGAAAACTTTCCATGCTACCACTGGCAAGCAAATAAAGTAACGAAGACTGTGTGAACTGGTGGGGACCAGTTTGGAGAGACATGCCACAGCATTCTCAAAAACCAGGACAATTTTGATCTAAGGATAAGTCAACTCTCTTATAGGCGGCAAGTCTGTCCTATCAAACCCCTGGCCACTGAACTGGTAAATTATTACTGTCCCTAGGAAAAATACAGGGTTAGGTTCCTAGGATTCTCTAGTTTAATTTCACCAACCCATTACTACAGAATCTTGCGTGGTAAAGATCATCTCTTTACACTGCTGGTTCTTTAACACTGCATCTACCTACTACACGTTCAGTAAGATACAGCTTTCTCATACTATGGAAACGCGAGTCAATCCTTAGGGACCTTTTAAATACTGAGTGACCTCATCAACAATAGGCACGAAAACAGGCACACCAATGTGCAGGAGGCCCCCAAGTGACACAGTCACAGCTGAGATGAGGCGGACCTCACCCAACCTTGGGTGGGAAGGAGTGCAGGGGACAGTCAAGTTTTTCTTTGTGCATGCAGCTCAGGTCCCCGAGTGCTTCTGGTGTGGTGGTCTCAGGGTCACACTTACACTGTACCAAGTAGGAAAACAATGCAAATCCAGAATCCGCAGACACTGAGGGACAGCTGCGACTGGGGTTGACAGAGCTGAGAATAAAGGGAAAGCTCTCCATCTAGTGGCAACTTTTTTAAAATCACAAAGCTACTTAAACTCGTTCTTACAGGGACTCACAACGGTGTCGTAGTTCTAAAGTTATGTCAAGAACAAATTTTAGCTGTGTACGTGCACGAAAACGATGGCTTCTACGGAAATACCCCAGATATAAGGAGGGAGAGGCTTGTGTTTCTCCCGACAGACGTGCTGGGGACAAATCAAACAGTTGATCATGGGTTTGGTCCACCTGAAAGTACACTGTCAGGACTTAACAAAAGTTCACAAAGGGTCCAACTCTTTGAGGTTACTGACAGAGTGACAGTTCTGCCACTGTGCTAATTCAATCTCAAAATGTCAACACAATAGTAAAACGTATCATGAGCCAAGTTTTAAAGGAAGGACTAGACTACACTGAGAACAGTGTCAGTGACATCCGGCTGCTGAGAGGAAGGGAACTCTGAACCTAGCCCAGGCAGAGCTCAGGAAGCAGAGCTAGTGCCCCAGCACTAACTCCTGCCGCCGCCCTGCTGTGAAGATACCAACAGAGTAACTCATTAGCTCACTCCTCAAACTCCAGGAAGAAACATTAGAAACAAGGCTCGATATGTGCAAGATCTCTAAGCAGCTAACGGAGGACCTTATAAACCAAACTTGTGCTGATAAAGAACCAGGAATCCTATCAAGTCTGTGAAGCCCCAAGGCACACAGACAGGTCTGTCCTGTGAAAAAGAAGCCATGGCTTTGGACAGAATCTTCCTTCCGAACTTGTGAGTCTGCCCCACGCCCATGAGAAAGGTTTTGAAATCCACCCTTTGACAAACTGAATTGGAATGTATTTTTAAAAATACATACATTATTTTTTCAAAACTCTAATCCCAAAATTCACTTTCATTCTTTCCCACTGAAATTTTAGGGAAGGACAGAGGAAGAAAAGGAGGAAAGGAAGAAAAACGGATTCATTTAAGAATTTAAATTATTTCATCTGTTTTATTCTGTGGCCTACCATTGAGACAGTCTGTAACAAAAGACCAGCGATTAGCTGTTAGATGAGCACAGAGTGTATCAGACTAGTGTCCAGGGAACAGCAACTGTCCCTCTGGCCACCTCCACTTTCTCAGCAGATTGCTTAAATTCACTCACCCATCCAGAGATAATGGTGCCTAGAGTCCACAAAGACACAGTATGCCAACCACGACTTCTGACTGATATTTAAATTGCACAAAGATAAAGCTTTAAGTGGTAATTTTTAAATTTAGACTTATCTTGAAAAGTCAAAGAGTAAAACGACAGAAGGGAGTAACTAGCAAGCTAGCGTGGAACTCTTGGAAAGCAGGGCATGTATCTCCGTACAGACCAAGGGGATATATACACATGAAATGCATTTTATGGAGTTCTACATCATTCACTTACGTACATATTTTGGCATTTAAACAAATATCAAATTAAGCTTTAAGCTAGTAACATAATCTTTATTTTTTTAAATATAAAAAAGATAGCCAACCACAAAGTAAGTACAGAAAACCCTCGTTTAATATAGATTATTAGATATGGCAACAAGGCAGCTTTCTACCCCACACTAAAATCTAAATGAAACTTTCCCCACGTTAATAACAATCTAAAAGCTTTTCAGTCTACCAAGAAAAAAAGTCTAACATAACCAACAATTTAAGTTAACTGGGTAAGGAAGGAAGGGGATTATTAATCAGAACCACTTGCACACACGTGGAAAATGCAGTCACTCCCAAATAGAACCCGACATTGTACATAAATCACAAGATAAACGTGCCTAGTTAATGAACTGTGAATTTTGTTTAAAAAATAACAGTAATAAAAATAAACTGTTGGGTTATCATTGGAATAATGTAACACGTAAGGCTGGAAAATACTGAAATACAGTTAAGAACACAAGTTTACTTTAAAAACACACACAAACAAACAAAAAACAATAAAGAAAGTTTACCAGAGAAATTCAAGGTTGGACAGGAAAAGGCAGGACTCTCAGTGGGGTGGCCTTTCAGACCACAAAACAGCCACATCCCGCCCAGCCTTGCTAACATACACCAGGAGAGACTAACCACACACACACACACACACACACACACACACACACACACACACGGCTTCCTGCTTCTGGACACCTGAACGCCATCCCCTTCAGCAACACTGCCTCCATTCCCTTCTCTCTGGAGCTTCTATTTGTCTATTCTCAGTAAATCCAACGTCCTAGAATCCAAAACTGAGGGCAGATCACACTAGTTAACCATAGTTAACTACCCAGAGTGAAGACCTCAAATTCTTACAATTCTGCATCTCATCATCAGTATTTGGCACCAGCTGGATAAATAAAGTTATCAGAATCTGTGAGCTCAGACAGGTGGAGTTAAGTCACGACCCAGTACTTGCCATCTACAAATGATCTCAAACTTAAAAGGCAGCAACAGACAGACAGCCACACCAAAATATTTCAGGGTTGGAGAAGAAACACTAACAACAGACAAACCAAACTAGGCTGAGGGGGCTGAACTAGTTGCATGTGTCTGGTAATTAGCAAACCGTGGGCACTTCCCACACTAGTTTAACTACAGGCAGATGTCTTCCTACTGTGCTAGGATTTTTCTATACTCATTCTTCTAATCCTTAAAGGTTAAAATCATTTATTCTATAAAGAAATACAGCAAACATGGCCACAGTCTAAATATGTCACTTGTGTCATATGGAAATGGAAATCTGTGTCACTTAAAACGCCTGCACTCTTATTACATCATTATGGTAATTCAGTGGTGCAGGGACCGCCCTCAGCAAAAAGCATGGCATCACTGCCCAGGTTGAACACTAGCACTGCACAGAGAAGCGGTGACAGCCAAGTCCATACAACTCTCTATTTATTTGTGAATGAGCATTCAATAATGCTCCCAATGAAAAATGGTGCAATAAAGCAACTTTTAGTATGAAGAGACAAGAAGCTGTGAAGCCAGTGGCCACTCGGCGCTGCAGAAGGGAAGAGAAAGCAGTCTGCATGAGGGAAGCATGGACTGGGGAGAAGAGAGAGGCACAGGAGGCAGAGCTCAGACGGACAGTGACACGAAGCTGTTGTACTGCTGGATGTTTCGCTTGAGGATATCTGAGCACGGACCAAGGACGCGTTCAAACCGAGGTCGGTCCAACTTAACGCACTTCAAAGGGCCACGGGCAACCACAGTGGCAGCCCGGGGACGATTCATCAGCAGGGCAATTTCACCTGGAAAGAGACAGTTACGACTATCACTTATGGAAGCTATTTCCTTAAAGGCTCCACTTCAGGGCAAGTGAACAAAGATGGAACTTTTCTACTAACTTAGTAGGGGCCACATAACATTTGTCCACTAAAAGCTACTACCAGCTAAAGACAATAAAGCCCCTATAGTAGTGCCCACAACCCAACACTTAAGGGGCAGAGGCAGGAAGGTGGTCAGTTAGAACAAGCTTCACTGTACAATGAAGTCCAGGCAGTCTAGGTTATATAAGACACAGGTGCACATGCAGGTACGCATGTGTATGCGCACGCATGCATTCGTGTGTCTAGTCTATTAACTGAATAAAGTTAAATCTTACAGTATTTCTCTGAGAACCAACAAAGAGTGGAGGTTAAGAAATCTAACAGGTGTGACTATAATCCCAACACTTAGGAGGCTAAGGCAGATCTGAAGAAGGCCAGCCTGCACTGTTACCATAGGCCCTGTCTCAAGAACAGTAATAAAGGCAGGCTGTGGTGGTGCCTGCGTGTAACCCAATCACTCTAGAAATAGAGATGGTAGGTAGTCTCTGAGTTTGGGGGCAGCCTGGTCTACAGAGTGAGTTCCAGGCCACACTCTGCCCCAAAACTAAGTAAAGGAATGAAAACAAAACTAATTATGGAAAACTACACTGTCCCACAGATACTTACACCATGTATTTTTTATGAAGAAATTTAACATACCAAAATAATCCGAAGGCCCCAGTCGTCCCACTTCAACAAATTCTTCGTTTTCTGACCGACGCTGCAGCACAGCAGCTGTGCCCTGTAATCACACCAGCAAGAGGCTAAACACACGCTCCTAACCCAGAGGGATTCACACTGTGCAATCACTGCTTCCTGGGTGAACTGAACAGTCATTTCAAATTGTGTATGCGCTTACAGTCAAATGGGAATGAGAAGTGAGGTCATCCCCCACTCACCCCGTGATTTCTGCTGAACCAGCATCCGGCTGTCTAGACTCTTCCCAAGTTCAAGCACTTACAAAGGAGTTAGACATGGTGAGTAAACGTCGTAAAGGGTCAAACTCAAGCGTGTTGCATCCTTTGAAAGTAAGTTTTTTATAGACTATCACACTCAGGGCTCACACCTCAGTTGGCTGCATTTGCAGTGTGACAAGAGTTCTGACTCTGAAGCTGCTGTCTGGACCTACCTGGCAAGCAGGATGACAGCTGGCTGTCTCAGGTAACAGCAACTTGTAGAATTGTAAATCATTACAACGTAGCCTAAGCAGTGTACATTTCTAAACAATGGCTCAGACTCACCGTATCTGTCACGCCTGAGGGGCTTTTTAGTATAGTAAAGAGTCATTTCTCCAATCATGTCTAGGGCCCTTGCAGGATTCTGACTCTTTAAAACTGTAGCAGCCTATACACACAAAGTTGTATTTTGAAGTAAAAGATAACTTTTAAATAAAACTGTCAGGTAGCCCTAAAAACTAAAGCTACAAATCACAACTGGCTGCACCTCCTTTAGGTGATCCACTCTAAGGAATCAAATGCAGAACTCTACCTCTAAAATAATGAAGAACTCATCCCCCGGTTCTCCTTGCACCACGATCTTCTGTCCATCTTCAAACTGGACAGGCTCCAGTGCATCAGCTACTGTGAGACGCTCCCACTTGTCCAGAGACTCTGAAAAGGAAGAATCAAAGGAAATTCTCTACAGATCTGGTATTGCTAAAAAAATAAAAATAAAATGCAACCAACTAACATCCCCACTAGACATCCCAAGAGAACTCCTCCAGGTGAGGCCCGCCCACAGCAACCATCTTCAGTCGCTCGGAGCCTCAGCAGGACTCGCCTACTACTGCAGCTGGCCTTCAGAGCCTTCCTGTAACTGTTAGCTTTTATCAAAGTGCTAAGAAAATGTAATTCTGAACATTACCATCAAGCAAAGCAAACCTTCAAGTAACTAAAGAAATAGCTTTCCCATGCACACCATTGCAAAGGTTCAAAGTAATTTATCCATTTAACCACTCAGATGAGTTTACCTTCTGAGTAACAAGGAGCTAGAAAATACCTTCTGTTTCCAAAGACCCAACTAATATTCAGAATACTAAAACAAATGACAAGTGAGGTGAGAAAAGTCTGCAACAAAGCAAAGGCAGACTGTCACCTACCCAGAGCCCACACAAGTCAGGTCTTAACAACTCCAGTTCACATAAGGAAATCTAGAGAGATACGGTCAATTGACCAGCTCACTTTTAAATTTCAACAGGTGTGGATCTTTTCAAAAGAAGCCAACAAAGATATCCCAGACAAAGCCCATCAAAACCCATTCCTAGGAACAGCAGCAGAAGCTGCAGCAGGAGTAACTGTGACTGTCCAGAGCATAAACACACTCCTGTAAAGGAAAGGGCAGCATCTATGCGATCATAAAGCTTTTCCAAGTCTGATTATAGGGGTTTGCCATATACTGGCAAACTGAACACATGTAAAAATTACCACTTATTTTGCCAAACTTTCAACAGTCAAAATGCCATATGATCATGATTAGCAAAAGCAAAACAATAAAAAATTTTTAAAAAATGACAGCACATGAACTATAAGACGTATGTGAAAAGCTGTGCAAGTACCACAAATGCTCCAGGTTATCAACTCCCCATATAATTATCTGACTCACCTAAAATAGACACTTTACTAAGGAATTCTTCATACATCTTCCTCTTTCGCAGAGTGCTTCCCTATAAATAAAAAAATGTTATGTCCAAAAGAGATGTGATTATCACACGTTTCAGAATAAGTTACGTTCACACTTTAAACAAACTAAAAGAAAAGTTAATATAAAGCTGGCTGCTACTGTTTCTTGCCTCTAACCAATTTTCTCTGTACTGAAGTGTGAGCTTCTGCACAGCTCTGTACAAAGCTGCACAGGTGTGCAGGCCAAGGCAGTGCACAGTCTAACAAGCAGTGAATGCCAAGCCATTCTCTAAAGGCAACCAGATGGCTGAGGCATGACTGTGCATGAGACCTCCACACTGGGGCTGCCCATCCTCTCAGCCCAGGACTACTCCCACAGGCTGCACACAGGGAACAGACTCCTGCCACTTACAGATGAGAAGATTGGGCCACAGTCCTAAGCATAACTAGGCTTGTGTAGCCATACCATCCCAAACACTCTGAATCTCATCTAAGACAAAGTTTACTGGGTATACTTGAAAGAAAACAGGAATATTTTATGTTTTATGGCAAACTTTGCTCAAAAGGTAAATAACCTCTGCACTACTACATACATATACTTAAGTGTGTATGTACATCTGTGCCTGTTACACACAACACACACAGGTTCCACATTTGCAGTCAAAATTGCACACCAAAATCTTAGGGGGGCTCTTGGGTAGCATTCATGAGGTTTGGTGCACAAGACAGAAAACCAGAAAAACCAAGCCTGAAGCTGAGGAGCTAATGAACACTGACGGTATATTTACACACACACACACACACACACACACACACACACAGAGTGCACAGAAGTGGGAAAGGAACATGATACCCTCTCCCTCAGGCCCAGTGGTATGAAACTACCAAAGATTAAAAACATTATTTTAAGCAAACAAACAAAAAAAATACACAAAGATTTCAAAGCATGTAAGATAACGTATTTTTAAAACTTATGCTTAAGTCTGTGTACTGGTTTGTGCACAGGAGTGCAGTGCCCATGGAGTCTAGAAGAAGGCATTAGATCCACTGAAGCTAGAGCTACAGGTGTGACCTGTTTGGTGAAACCAAACTTGGACCCAGGACAAAAGCAGTACACACTCTTAATTGCTGAGCCATCTCTCTCCAGCCCCAGACTGTGTATTTTCAAATACCTATGGGGTACCACAAAAACTTGAGAATTCAGAAGGGCTAGCACCATTCACTAAACATCTAAAGCTACTCTATAAAATCATCACACTGCTCAAGCAGTCTCACTGTAAACAAAAGGCAGCATGAATTTATTACTGATAACCCAGTATCAGCTTAGAGAACATGATTACTTCTGAATGGCTTCAAATAACAGCATGCATTTAAAACCAGTCCAGTCCCCATGTGAGCTTGGTGATCCTATTCAGCACCAGCACGTGAAGTCTAAGCCCACAGCCTCTCACCATGAGGATTCTCCGGTAACTGTCTCGGTCGATGCCCCACAGTTTCACGTTTGTCTTTGCTTTGACAGTGGCTGCTCTGGGTGTTCCATAAATCAAAGCCAGCTCTCCAAAGCTCCCTCCTTCCCCAACACTGGTTGCCCATTCATTATTGACATAGACCTAAAATAAAGATGACATCAGAAAGTGTTTGTCTAGATAACAAATGTGTTAACTCTCGAACTTTTCCAAAAGGAAGAATTCTGAGCCTGTTTAAACAATAGGATATACACTACGTCTGCAGAAGAGAGCAGGAGCATTAACTTCTGACAGGTAGATGATCTAATAAAGGTGCCCTGCCAGGATGATGAGGAGAAATGTTCAGACAAGCAATAGTATCAAATGACATATGTTTACAAAATGCTGTGCTGGGCACCTTACGTGTATTAGGTCACTGAATTTTCTAATAATTCTATAAGACTAATGCAACTTTCATCTTGTCTTCACTAGTTTAAAAACAAAAAGCAGACTTTTTAAAAGCTGAACTATCTCACAGAGGTGCCCTGGGTTTTCACAGCATAGGACACATTCACTTTCCAATGCTACCCCAGTGATAGTAGTGAACAGCATGTAGAGACAGGCAAGCTACCTCTAAAAACTTTGTGTCATAAAAAGACTTGGTTAGTGGTGATGGACTTGGCTTAACAAGGCTATCATCATTTGCCCTTGCAAACACTATGCTTACTGCTTAGAAATTAAGTTAAAGTCAAGATTATCAACATATTTCTCCTATTATTAACTCTTACATCCATTTCTCCTTGATCAATCACATAGAAGTTATCCCCTTCATCACCTGGAAAAGAGTAAAATGTCAGGATCATTAATGAAGCAATGATAATTGTTTAATTAACATAAAATGGTAAATTCATGGGTGGATGCTAGTGACTGAACTTAAGGGAAAAACAAGCAACTTTAAAAAAACAACAACATAAAATTAACCACTCCTTTGGTCATCTCACAATCTTTTAAAACTGTGCTTTAACAAAACAGTTCATCGAAAAAAGAAAAAAAAACAAAACAAAAAAAAACAAAAAAAAGCAGTTCATGGGAGCCATGAGAAGGCTCAGCGTGTACAGCATCCACTGCCAAGTCAGAGAGGCTGAGGCTGACCTCTGGAACCCACACAGAGGAAAGAGAAACCACAAGATGTCTTCTGAGATCACACAGCAGTGCTGCAGCAGGCACATGCACCTGCATGTGTGCTCACACAGATTCACAAAATAAATCAACAAAATGTAAAAGTGTTAAGCCATTTATGCATACAAAGTTAACTGCTATGGAATGTACATACACTACAAACAACTCAACTCAACTAACAAATGGCCACTCTGCCACAAAAATGGGGAAATACTTAGCTTATGGAGCTCCAAGAAAATGTTAAGAATAAGAAAAACAGAAAATAGCCAATAGATAAGACTCTTGTTAGTCTACATGGGCAAAAATGGTTACACTTCTGCAGGAGGCGCACAGTCATGTAACAGACGGGCTACACAATGCAGAGTGGGTGAGTGTGCAAATGTGGTTATTAATCAACAAAAGGATGTGAGAATTACAGCTCTGAAATTCTACACACTATCCAATGTAGCATAGGTATTCCCTTTGATGTTGACTATAGTCAGAAATATTGATCCCATAGACTGTGTTAACTTAGAGAATTGTTTAGTGAAGAATTAAGACCCAATACTAATGCTAAGACCCAGCACAGTCACACCTGTGCACATACACAACACATCCACACCTTGCTTGTAATCACAGTACATGCCAGCAGCCCTTACCTTGCTGAATAACCGTCTCTCCAGCAATAAAGGAGACTGGAAACATGGCATCAAAAATGTCACTGCAGGACAAAAGAGGCCTGGGGTTAGACTTGAACTCTCAGCATCAAAGCTCTCAGGTTCTCAGTCCTATCAGGTAACGAACAGCTAAATGCCTAGAACCTGCAACAACAACAGCACTGAGTTTGGCACCACCCCCCCGACTGGGAAACTGTGTGAACAGAACCTGCACCTACCTTCTCTCATTATCATCAAGGTGTGAAAATAACACGTTCTTTTCGATGGCCTTGGCTAAAGCAGCCATTGTCTTATAATCTTTTGGTATAACCTAAAAAATATTAAAGATCAAGTGACAACCTAGAAACCAAAGACACTCCATACCTCCAATTTGCATTTCAATTAAATGCCATGCCACAGATTGGTATTTAAACAATACCAAACAGGGTACTTTAAGTTACTATTTTCACTATAAGATATCTGTATGACTCACAAAGTACTGTACAAATACTGATTAATCCCCTTGCCTAGAGCCAGGCTTATATTTAAGGATCTGTACTTGATTCCAAGTTAACAAATAAACAGAAAACACCTAGACCAAGATCCTTTTTCTGAGGCATAACTAAATATTTTATAACAATTGGTCATTTTGTACACTGTGATACAGTATTATTAGTTTCACAATAATAATACTGTATCAAGTGCCTGGAACCCATTTCCCCTAAATGGTAAAGCCTAACTCAAACGGCTAGCAGGCTCTGAAAAGAGCTGACCAGGACAAACGTAACTTGTAGGATAACAGGGTAGAGCCAAACCTGAATTATAGGGTATCAAGAGACTAACAGCATGAGCTAAGAGAAGGGGAGGACTGCCTGCTTCTGCTACAAAGAGCAGAGAATTACTCACTGGTTTATAGTCACTACTTGCCCTCTCTTGTGGAGCTATTAACAGCAGTCTGTTCTCAGCACTAACAAGTGCACCCTTGTCTGTCTTTGCAAAAGAGTATACCTGCATCAAAGGAACACAGCTAACTGAAGGCCTCGACAACAGCCCACCACTTAGACAGCCCAGCTACCTTTCTAACATAGGACGCAGCATCCTCCTCAGTGTAAACTTCCGCACTGATAGCACCGCGGCGCCGGCGGCCCTTCACCACTGGATTGGGGGGTGGAGGAGAGATCTCATCCTCCCTCGAGTCAGTACGGATGCCGCTTTTCTGCAGACTCTGAATCTGTCTTGCCTCCTCCTGAAAGAAGGTTGTACTTTAGAATCTGAAAGCTGGTCCCTCTAATCCCAGCGATAGCCCAGCTCACATCAAACCTCTTCCAGTACCCATGTAAGTAAGAACAAGTCAGTTCCAAGTTGGTGGGGAAGAGGGGTGAAAGGTCAACAGAGTTAAATATGAGAAAAATCACTCCAGCATGGTGCCAGGATGGCCGAGCACAGTCCATTAGTGGCAATGAGTCAAGTCACATGAAGACTGAAATCTGATGTCCTTTTTCTTTAATCAGCATCTCAATTAACAGCCACCTTCTGCTTCTTCATTCATTTCACCCATTCTTTGACCCCTCCACAACATCTTTCAAATTCAAATTAACTTAGCAATAAGCAAATTATTTAGAATAAAAGTGATTTTAAAAAACTTCAACTATTTGTCTCCTACACTTGTCCTACTTCTGGCAAGCAGACCAATCTGTGGAGTCTATACATCTGGGAAAAGGCGAGGACTGACTACCGAGAGGCTACTGGAGCGCCCTTTCACTAGTGTAGTCTACTAGCACAAAGTTCTATTTCTTCAGAGGCAAGCTACCAACCCAGAAAACAAAACAAAACGAGAAAACCAAGAATCACTGTATGACTCTAACCCTGAGCACATTGACTTCGTGACTCAGTACTCTAGTACTTCTGCTTCTAGATCTAAAACAAGCTTGTATGTGAAGTGAATATGGAAACATTATCTTCTGATTAGGCTTTTTTCTTCCAAATAAAGAACTGGAAACAGTCAAAATGACTAGCAGAAACAGTTATATTGTATCCATACAACAGGGTGCCACCCTGTGTTAGAAAACACACGTCACTGACAGGGCAAGGGAGTTAGTTCAGTCAATAATGTGTTGAACAATCATGAGGACCTGAGGTCCAACCCCCAAACCCTCTGGAAAAAGAGAGACAAGGCACAAACTTGTAATCCCAGCACTGGGGAGGACACAGTCCCAGCTCACTGGCTGGCCAGCCTGGAAGACCCAGGCCAAGGAGAGATCTGTCTCTAAAGTACAAGATGGACGGCTCCTGGGGACTGGACACAGGGCTGTCGTCAGCCTTCCACACTCCTACTACATGAGCACACACTGACACATGCACACAAAGAAAAAACTAACCCACTCTTTCAGAAATGAATCTATCTGTAAATGCCCACAGATTACCTCTAGAACACTGGCTACAGGAAAAGGCAGTAACAGGGTGGGAAGATCTTTCACTGTTAAACCCTGTTAAACTGGCTCAACTTCAGTCTCTGACTCATTTAAAACTGTATTTTAGAAAATGCACTCATTTCATACAGGTAGTCCTAGTGACCTGACCGGCAAGACCTTTCTGTCCCATATTAGCACAAAACAAGTCTCCCCTAAGTTCAAAACATTTAAAAAGAAAAATGGAAAGAAAGAAAAAAAGGAAGGAAGGAAGAAAAGAAAATTCTAGACTCCAACAAACTAATCATTGTCACTTCAAAGAAATTCACAATGAGGGGCTAGGGAGCCAGTCCCATTGATCAAGGGCCTGCAGTGTGAGCATGAGGCCCCAGGTCTGATCCCCAGACTCGAGGAAAAGGAGAGTGTGGGAACACACATCCATAAATCTTAGACTGAGCAGACATTGACAAGCAGATTCCTTTAGCATCTGGACCAGCAGCTAGTCTACCCATTTACCCAATCAGTGACTTCCAAGTTCAGTGGGAGTTCCTGCTTTAAAAAGAGAGTACCTGACACCAATCTCTGGGCTCTAATGCAAGCATGTACACATGTACCCACTACCATGCACTACACTCACAAACACTTATATGTACTGCACATGCGTGCGTGCGTGTGTACATGTACATACACACACACACACACACACACACACACACACACCCCTCACAAATGAAATCTTACTTAGACTGTATTTTAGTTAACCAAATTTTAAAGATAATTTTGAAATAACAAAAGCTTTCTGCTATTAACAGTCTTGTGGTTCCAGTGAGTCAGAGCCATTACTGAGATCATCAATTTCTAGCTGTACAAGGGCACACTGTTCTATCCTTACTCTGTTCCTGTCAGTCAGCTCTGAGTCTTCCTCAAACTCTGAGTCTATTTACTGGTTAGCAATGTTCCTGACTCTCCTTTCATGCTCTGCACTAGACTGAGCTTAAAACTCTCAATTCTTAGGTTCAAGTTGTTTCTCCCACTCTCCTAAGTATCTATCTCCTCCCTGCCTTTGTCATCTTTCTCTGTAGACAAGCTTCCCACCCCAATCTTCAGGCTTGGGCACATGACTTACTTGGGCCATAGAATGTAAGTGGACATGTCATACTATGTACATTACTGTGGTCTGCCTTTGGTAGCCTTGAATTTCTGTTCTTTCTCTGACTTACCAGCAAGCCCTGGCCCTACCAGACCTGAACCCCTGACTGTAACTGACCTCATTGTCTGATCTCCTGAACAAAATGTGAGAAAGCTTTGATCCGTTCCTTTATGCGAGAAACTCGGTATACAGACATTTACATCTCCACTGTAGTGGGAACTCAGTCTGGCAGGGTTAGATAATGGCTGTTCTCTCCACTCAGACCCAGAACAAGACACTCGAAGTAAAGACAAGATAGGCACATGACCAAGAAATGCACCAATCATGGTAAGTCACTAAAATTCCAGGTTTACATGTTGTTGCTGAAAAACCCAACTCCTAGGATCACAGCTATGATTTAACTTCCCTTAGATTCAACTGCTGCCTCAGGAAAATGGTGTTAATACCCTACCTTACACATCTGAAGTAATGGCAAAGAGAAAGACT